CTCTCGTCACGTCTCTGGTCACGCCTTATCTCGCATCTCGTCGCGACTCTCCTCGCACGTCTCTTGTCACATCCATCAGTCACGTCTTTGGTCACGTCCTTTGCCGCGCCTGTCGTGACAACTCTGGTCCCGTCTCTCGTCATAACTTCTATCACATCTCTCATCATGTCTCGACGCCTCACGTCACGACTCCGTCGCATCTCCCGTCCTGTCTTTCGTGCCTGTAAACGGGAACCCTTCTGCTGCGCATTCGGGAAAACGAAACACTTGGGAGTTGGAGCCATCTCGCCGTTTCTCCATTGAGGACCCCTCTTGAGTGGGACCATTTGAGGTGAAAGTTTCCTCCAAAAAGCAAGCTGAGTGCTTCGAGCCAACCAAGCCGAATGAAAAATCAAAGGCGACGCGAAATCAAATGACGGCTAAAGCAAAGGCATTTGAAAGGACCATGTGAGGTGACTTTTTTGCAAAGCGGCTTGGAGCGAGCCTCTCGCCTCGCCTCGCCGTATATCGCGCCCTGGCGCGGTCGATCGAGGCCAGTCCAGCGTGGCGTCCTCGCGGGTGGGGAGCAAGACATCCTCGCGGAGCTCCTCGAAGAAGCTCACGCGGGGCAGCTCCAAGAAGAGCACCAGGGACTTGTCCAAAGCGAGGCATGCAGGGCGTTTTGGTTTCTTCGGTTTCGTCAGTTTTTGGTTTTGGGGTCGGTTGGGGTCGGTTGGGGTGGGGTTGCGTCGGTGTCGTGTTCTTTTTTTGGGGGGGTTTGTTTCGGTTTTTGGTTTTTTCGTTGTGGGGGGTTGGGGTGGGGTTAAGCCGGTGTCGTGCTTCTTTTTTCAGCAAGTTTTGGGGTGGGGTTAAGTCGGTGTCGTCCTTTTGTTTGGGGGCGGGGGTTTGGGCTATGTCGTTTTTTTTTTTTTTTTTTTGGGGGGGGGGTTGGGACTTTTTGTGGAGTCTTTGGGGGGTCTGGTGCGTCGGCTTGTGTGGGGGAAGGTGCGGCTTTCTTTTGCAGGTCCAAACAAAAGCGAACGGCAACTATTCAGTGATGCGGTGGCAGACATGCCCCTTCCCTATATTTCCCCTTTGCTAGCTTTACACATCACCTTTTGAGCCAATATGGGCGTGTCATTTTTAGGGGACCCCCCAAAAATGGCTGCTTTGCATTTGGTTTCCCTCAAAAACCCACAAAAAGGGGCACGCTCTCAAAAGACGGAGCCGGTGTTTCTTTTTAGACTTTCTCACCAGCCGTGTATATTTTGGAATTCCTCATCTTGGATTCTCATTTCGGCTTTCTTTTTTGCACGAAGCGAGGCAAGTGAGTGAGCGACTGGCGATTCCAAAGGAAAAAGAACGGTCCCGGATTTTTTTGAAGCACGCCCGGGGGGTCCGGGCGTTCTTTTCTTTGAAATCCCGCCGGCTCCAGTTTTTTTCTTCTTCCCGGAATCACATATTTTGAAAATCGCTTGCGGGGTCCCGCTGTTGTTTTTGAATGGACGCCAGGGGGGTCGCGGTGTTGTTTTTTTGCATTCACGCCTCTGGGCCCTCGTGTTTGTTCTTCTCAAAATCACGCCTGGGGGCTCCGGTGCGGTGCTTTTTGTTGCATTCACGCCTGTGGGCCCAGGTGCTTTTTCTCTTGAAATCACGCCTTGGCGCTCCGTTTTTTGTCTTTTGAATCACGCTCAGGCGTGATTCAAACAAAGAAAACACTAGGACCGCCAGGAGCGATTTCGAAAGAAAAGACACGAGGGCCCAGAGGTGTGAATTCAAAAAACCGTGACCCCCTTGCGTGATTTCAAGAAAAAACCACTCCGTGACCCCCCAGGCTTGAAATAGAAAAGGAACAACACCGTGACTCCTAGGGCGTGACTGCAAGAAAGAAAAGCCACCGTGACCCCGGCGTGATGTCAAACTATGCGATTCGCCCAAAATAAGCACGAGCCAAAAAAGACAGACCTATATTCACGGCGAGTTTCCTGGGCTGTTTCAAAGGGACACGCAGGGACCCGCCAGTTCCGTGCGCGCCAGTTCCAGCACGCAGCCGGGCGGCTGGGCTTGCGTGTCGGACCGCGGGCGGCTGGATGTGGATGGCTTGGGATGGCTGGGTCAAGTTTATTGCGTTGCGTTGGATGTGATGTCGGACCCATATGAATCAACTCCCTGGTTGATTAACGGGGGGGGGGACTGACCACTCTTGGAGGGGAACAGCCCACACTCTTCGGGCGAGGCTTTCAAGATCACTTCACTATGGCGTGCGCGGGTCGCAACTTGGGGGCTTCTGAGAAACCGGGTGATGCCAGAGGACCTTTTGTAGGGATCCGACCAGATTTTGGCCTTTTTGGAAGGACGACCGATGGGAATTGTTCAGGGCAATTTGCAGGGGCTGATGAGGGGGATCCTTTTTGGAATTTGGAATTGTTCAGGGCAACTTGAAGGGGGCGTTGTCTGGGCTTATGACAAGGCGGATCCGGGGGCTGATTGACTTGAGCATGAGACATGGTTGCCAACTATCTAGCACATGGGCTCCGGAGAAAAAAGGAGCGACCCCCCTCTGTTAGTTTAGGAATCCTGAGGGCACCGATGCAAATGTGAAAGGGTGGCTCTCCTTGGTGGACCGATTCGCCCCGTGATCCCGCATGCAGGACCGGCACATGTTCCTGCAGAAGGCGGGCTTCAGTTTTCAGAGAGCATCTGCCTGCGTTTCATGTCATAGCAAGGCTTACTAGACTGGGTCCATGAATGTGGTTGCATGTCGAGAGGATCCGCAACAACAAGACGTATTTCTGTTTATGGGACACCCCCGGTTTCAACCGCCATGTGCAGGTTGACTCTGAGGGCATGTTCGACCTACCCTGCTTGGGGTTGGATCTTGAGGATTGCCCTGTGATACCAGAGAATCCGATTTGAGCCACAATCAAAACCTGGGTAGCTGAAGGTTAGCAAGGGACGATCCCAACCATGAATAGCTGCGGAAATTTCCGCCTTCTTAGTTCTTGAAGCATGGTTCTGGGTGCACCATTTTTGTACCAAGTTTTGATTGAGAACCCCATTTGGGGAAGTTGATTACCTGTGGGCAACTCCGTACGCCCCGAAGCTTCCCGGCCGGCCGCGGGCAAGGCGGCGAGGTAGTTTCGATCAGTTTCCTCTTGGTGGTTCCAAACATCACCTCGAAGTTGCCAACTCCAAGTGAATGAGCTCTCTTTTTTTGGGGGGGGACATGTGGGGAACCCTGCGCTTGAGGCCGTACTTCTCCGGCCTGAACTTTTCCCTACCCCAGTTTAAACATGAGGTCTTTCGAGCATGGTTTCACAGGGACTCGGCCTAGAGAACTTGCGACTGGATGGTGGACGCAACTGAACAACCTGACGCCAATTAACATGGAACCCGACAGTTTTTTGTCTTTTTGTTTTAGAAACATGGTCTTCCAGGACCCCTCAGTCAATTGATGGGAGGGTAACCCTTGTGCTGGAAGAGTGCTGCCACTTTGCTTTTGGGACCAGGGTCCCAGATCGGCTGCTCAGCTTGTTCTTGTTTCAGGTCTTTTGCCTCCCGCTGCATGTGCTCCCCGTTTCCTCCCCGTGGAAACCTGCGACCAATCGCGGCGCCACTCGAGTGCTCTGCCGGGTCCAAGACGGAGGGATCTCTCGGCGTTGGCTCGTGCGAAGTTGGATGGTTGGATGCTGGACGGTTGGGTGGCGGAACTTATTTTAAGTCCCCTTCGGTCCAGCTGACTCCAATCGCTTCCATGGAATCCTGAAGTGTGTTTAATACTCTCCCCCTTTTATGAGGATTTGTCTGGTGGGACCCGTTCTCGGATTCTGGACGCCCCAGGGGAAAACCCTGGCGGTCCTTGGCAAAAGCCACGTGACATCCTTTGGAATCTATTGGGCTTTCCAGTTTTCACCTGCGGGTCGACCGGGCACAGTGATATGAGGTTTGGTCGGAGTCTACGCTCTTTTGGGAGGGACATTGGGGACTGAAATTCACCCCAACAGACGACTCACTCATTTTGCCATGTTTGTTTGTGTGTGTTCTGTTAAGGGTACCCTTTCTTGGGGTTGGTTCCAAGGAAACCAACATTTTGGGTGTCCCCGATGGCTCATATCACCGTCGCGAGCATTTTTGGGTGTCCCCGATGGTGACTCATATCACCAGGGCTCGCATTTCCAGCCTTGCGAAGGTTCGACGCGACCTGGGGCACAGAGACAAGGAGATTCTCGGGCTGCAGATAAAGCCTCAGCGGCCATGCTGAGTCTTTTTTGGGCAAAAGTGTAGCCGTAGGTGTGCACTTGACTTAACTCATTGTAAGTGTCCACTTGGGAAACATTTAGGCTCAAGTGGACCAAACCAGTCTTGTCTCCAATGAGTTCGGATGGTCCCAACCTCCCAACCACAAACCTGCCGCGCTTTGCACCTCCCGTGTCCATCCCTCGTGTTTTTCGGGGTAGCTCCCCTGGTTGAGTGGACCTCACCTGTCCTCCAAGCGTGGTGCTTTGTTCACAAGTCGATGTCCGGGGCTTAGGAGGGAGGGGAAGGGCGCTCCCAGGGCCTGCCTGGGTGTGTGTATTGAAACTGGGACATTGAAATAGCCTCATGGCTCATGCCTCAAGGCTCCTTCTACGCTGCCCTTCCGACGCTTTTTAGGAGGTGTCCGCCTGGAGATATATCTCACGCGGCAGTGCGGCCTTTTGTCTCGGCCCATTTCTTCTTCAAAAGGCAAACCCTGTAGGTAGTTTAGGTGGTTTACGGGGAGGCAGGGCTCTTTCGCTTGACGCCAAAGATGGGTGCATCTCAAGCAGGGTGGGACTTTTCAATGAATGACGACAGCTGAGTGTGTCTTCCTTCCAAGTGAGCGAACACATCGACCACGTTCTGCAGGCGAAGCATTTGGATGATGGCCGGTAGTACCGCATATGGACTACGCTCTTGTGGGGCGTGTCCTGAGTCCACTCGCGATGCGATGTTCAGACGACAAGAAGGCAGGCAGTTGTCCAAAACAAAACCCCGTGCAAATGGTGTTTGTTTGCAACACACAGAGGCTTTGGATCCGTGTAGATTTCTGCTTTGTTTTCGGTGCTGGGTATGTTCTGTTCATACCAAGGCTGGTTCGCAGAACTTCCCTTTCACAGAGACTTGTTGGGTTCTCTGTTGGTGGACGGTATGTTTTTTCCTCCTCCCCCCCCTATGTTTTCGCCCAATATCTGGGACTCGTGTGCCGTTTTTGTTTTCCTCCCCGAAAACCCTCGGCTTTCGGCTCGGCTGAGGAGAGAGGAGCGCCTGGAAGCTCTCATGCAGGCACCGGAACGTGCTGCCGTCCCACCCGCTGGTCAAGTTGCAAACATGGGGTGGGTGGTCATGTTTTTGGAGGGAAGTTTCTTCTTGCATCAGTCTGCTTGGGAAGGAGGGCACAAACCATTTTGGGTCTCTTTCTTTTGGAACCCATATGGCGTCTCCTTTTGGGAGCGAACCAGAAGCCTCAAGGGGAAAGGAGCCCGATCTAAGCAGTGGCCCTTTTAAAGGCTGGTTAGGCACATCACAAGCACAGTCCCATGGGTGGGTGGGCGGTCCGATTTGGACTGCGGAGGTCCGTGGGCATGCGCTGCAGCAGCAGAATTGCTGGCCTTTGTGGGCGGACGAGCAGGTCGGGACCCGGCAACCCGGGCTGGGTGGGGCGGGGAAGGGCGGGCGGGCGGGCGATTGTGCAAGCGAAAAGCAAGCGAAACCTGCCACTGGTGATGCAGCCCAACCTCAAAGCTCTAAGCTGGCCACCGGTGATACGCCTGAGGCGCAGATATTCATAGCACGAGCAAGAGCTCGTGCGATTCTCAGTGGTTGGAACTGCGCGTGGTTCTCGTAGTGGGTTGTCAGTTTTGCTTGGCGCGGCGCGAACAACTCTGCGCGCGGACATGAACGTGCGAGAACAACAGTCCATGGCTTGAATCTGCAGACGCCACGAGCTGGGTCTAGCCGGCGTGCTTTTGACACGAGTTATGCATGTGCGAAATAATGAGGATGCGCATGAGCGAAGTGTCCAATGTGTTTTGCCCCCTGGCCATCCATGAGTTGTAGTCCAACTGCTAAATCAGCTAACGAAAATCAACAAGACACATGACAGCTAACAAACTGGACTAAGCAACTGGCTAGCTGACTAGCTAAGAAACTAGTCAACCAACCATTGCAATGCCCGACTGACTGACCGACCAACCCAGCGACCGACTGAGGAACTCACTTGCAAGCCAACGAGCAAGATTAGGCTGTTTCTTTTTGAGTGTACCCTGCTTGGGGTTGCTTTAAAGGGAAACCAGCAGCAAAAAAGCCATTTTAGGGTCCCCCTATTCTTGCTGGTGCTCAGGGAGGGCATGAACCCGGTGGGGGGTCCTTCCAACTCATTCGCGCTCGATGGCAAGTCGTCGCCCTCCGCTCGAGCGAAACGCCTCGAGGTGCGGCGGGCGGTGCTGGATGCCATCCAAGCGCCGGACCCTGAAAGGGGCAAGAGCCTCTACACGGAGGAGGCCGCGGCCTCCGGATGCGGATGCGGCGGATGCGGTGTTCGCGCGGATATTTGACGCTGGGGGGGTTTGGAGGTTCCCAAAGTATTGTTGACCACATATTCATCAGCCCCAGTTCTTATTAGTAGGGGGGGGTCCGTGAATTTCAACCCCAGTTTATCTTAGTAGCGGGGGTGGGGGCCCCTCCAAAAGTGATCTGATTCCCCCAAAAAGGCCAGGGACACCCCCCTATGAATTAACTGGGGTTGATTAATACGGGGTCAACGATACTTTGGGCAATGGCTTGTCATGAACATGTCGTCGACTTCTCCCTTTTCCCCCTAAAAAGCAATCAGCCAAAAAGAATGCCGAGCAACTACACCCATGGGATGTGGCTGATGCGAGGGGTAATCCAAGGCTGTCAGACAGTACAAACAGTTATTTACTTTGTGGGTGAGCTTCTCCCCTGAGCTATTCAGATTGTGAAGAGCGGTAGAAGGGTGAACATGCGATTGCTTGGGTTACCTCAAACGCCATGAGGTTTCTTTGAGTGCTGGTTTGAAGGTTGGAAAACCTGGGGCCCCTCAAATGTCCAGAGGACTCCTTTCCCGTGACCCCTTTGCTCCTCGGGGAAGGTTTCTCCGTCTTTTTGGAAGAAACCCTCAACACGGCGCCAGGAAAATCCCTTCAATTTCCCTTTCAAGCAACCTCCAAAGAAGGTCTGCCCCCCCCAAAAAAATGGGGAACCCTCATGGCGCCAGGGTTTTCCTTTGGAATTCCCTTTCAACCAACCCAAAAAAAAGGCCGCAAGCGCCCGCCAGGGACCTCCTCCAAATCACCCCTCGGTGCGCACCGCGGCCTGCGGCGTGCTGGCGCGGGGCATGTCGATGCTCGGGCGCCGTTGGGCTCAACTTTCTAGTCCCTGAGGGCAAACTTTCTTCTTCTTCTTTTCTTTTTTTCCGGCTTGAGTGGATCTGAGAGGCACGCCAACGACTTTGTTTGGAGCAAACGTTTCTTTTTTTTGGATGAGTGAATCACCTCTTGTCCAGTTCTTTTTTTTCCTTTTTCAAATGGAGGCCGCTTTTGGTTCCACAAAAAAAGGGGAATGCAAAGGGAAAGCCTGCAACACACCCACCAACTGATCCCGCTTGGCCGTTTTCGCAAACTGGGTTTAGGGCACTCAAGCGAAGTCCGGCTTTTTGAAGTCAAAGCCGCGGACGATTCGCCCAGGGAATCCGTGAATTGCCAAGGGAGCCGTCTTCAAAGTGCCATTCAGTAGACCCAAACATCCGTTTGTCATGAAAGGCGTATGTTCCACAGCTATGTTGTGGGGGTTCCTTAAAATTGCGGCGCACCAGCTTCCTTTTTGTTTTGCTTTATTATGGTTGGACGCCCACCTCCGGCGGTCCGATGCGTTTTGTGTTTTTGGTTGGGCGGGGGACCTAGACGAAGCAGAACCCCTGGCTCATTTGGATGGGGGTGTCCAATTCCTTTTTAGTGGGGATGCAGACCACTTTTGGATGGAACACCCCCCCTAACAATGGGACAGGTTTGTTAATCCTGGGTCAACATGAGCACCGATTTCGGCGAGGACGCTGAAATACGAGAGACTGCATTGGACAGACCCAATGGCCAAGCACCCAATTTCTGGTTTCATACCAAAAGGGGGCGCGCTTCGGGCCCAGCGCGTCCTGAATCGGATCAATTCCTTGGTTTAGGAACTCTCAATGTGGGCGTGTCTTCTTTTGGAAGCGGACCCTTCCCTGTCAAACCACGAACAGGCCGTACCAACTCACACAAAAGGACAGGCCCATTTTTTGGGCGCCCCTCAAAGGTCGAGTTTTTGTGAATCAAATCAACAATGGCACGAGGGAAGCTAAACCGCAATCCCGTGTTGTTTCCTGAGGAGGTCAAAGAGCTCCCCAACGAAGTTGCTTCAGTGTGAGTTCAGGGTTCAACAGGCCTTTCTGGCCCCAAAAGGCCACTTGGGCATCCCCTTGTACTTGTTTAGTCCGGGTTTCAACAGCCAGCATCGCCTTTCCCAGCTCTTCCGCCGGGTTTCTCCGTCTGCTTTCTTTCCTTCGCCTTAAACGGCGGGGTTTCTCAGCGGCCCGAAGCTCGGCTCCATCGATCCAGGTGCAGCTGGCCATGGACGAGGCGGTGAGGGAGGAGATGGCCCAGGACACCTTGGTGCGGGAGAGCCTGGCGCGGGCGCCCAGGCGAAACCAGCCAGCGCGAAACGGGAGCGGGCGGATGAACCCGGCGAAGCAAAATCCCAGAGTTTTTTGGGGTGGAGAAGCGGGGGTTGGGTATCGACCCATGGAGGTGTTAAAAAAAACTGGTCGTGGTTAGAGGTCTAACAGGTGTTGGTGGTATTGGGTGCCGGGTTGCGTTTCTTTGGACGGTAAGAACAAGAAACGCGCAGGGAATGCTAGATGAATCGGCAAGCGGACTGGCTTCCTTTCGCTTGACTGGCAAGGACAAGTACCGGCAGAAACAGCAGAAGATGATGGAAAGGGAACGAGGAATCACCTTCGTGCTTCCTGCGTGAAAGCTGATGACCAGAAGTTTTGATGGCTTCATACAAGGTTTCCGAGCCATTTCCCTGTAAAGGGAGCCATTTCCCAGTGGGGCTCGTCACTCAATGGGTCCGCCAGTCCACAACTGCTCCACTTTTGTGGGGACAACACATCCAGTGACCCCTGGACTTGGGGTTTTCGGATTCTGTTTTCAGGCCAGTTGGAGGGGCCTCCCTACCCCCGCCCTCAGGCGTGCCCGGAGTCCATTTCCGGCTCAGGTGGAGGCCTTGCAGGTGGAGGCTGAAGAGGCGGAGGAGGCGAAAGAGGCGGAGGAGACGCCGGAAGGCTGGAGCCGTGTGGGTGGGGTCGGTTTAGGTGGGGTGAGGTCGGGTTGGTTGGACCCCAGAGAGCATGTTTTTTTTGGCGTGTCGTGATTTTTTTTGCGGATACCCTGTGGCCCATTTCAAAGGTAAAGATCATGGTTCTTTTTCGGGCCCCCTTTTTTCAAGACACGCCCGTATAGAAAGGTCTTCTCACTGTCGCGTCGAACTTCAAGGCATTGGACCGATGGGCTTTGCTGCCGGGGATGCCAGGCTCTGTGCTTCGTAGTGTTTTTTTTTTTTTTGGGGGGGGGCAGATATGAGGAACCCTGTGCGTGTGTGTTTCCCTACAATTGGCGACTCAATTTTTCACAAGAGCCAATCATCCAATCGCAGAGCACTTTCAATGTTTCATACGTAGGGAGTTCACATTACAATATGAGGGGACTGCACTACAAAGCAAAGGAAGAAATTGTTTCGCCAGCCAAAGCAAAGGAAGATACCACTGGCCCTCATTTCCGATCAGGGTTCGATTTTGCGGCTCGCAGCTGGACTTAAACCCAGTTTTCGAGTTTGTTGAATCAACCACTGGGCGGTTCTGTCTTCATTGGTGTATTCCAAGAGTGGAGGCCTACCCCAAGGGTCCCGACTGTTTTGGGGCCCTCCAAATGGGTTGTTGTTGAGGGCCCTTGAGGGGGCGTTGCAGGGTCCGGGACCCTTAGGGTATTCTGACACTATGGAAGATGTCAGCAGAAGGCTTGGTGCCTCGCGCCGGACTTTCAGGCGATGGCAAGGAGGAGGAGAAGGAGGAGGCAAGATATGGCCATGGGTCAAAGTCCCGGTTAGCCCCCAGTGAACATCCCAATCCCTACTAAAATAGACCAAAATGGGTGGTGCACCTACCCCAAAATGGTACCATTTGTTTTGACCCACAGCCATATGAAGCTAGTGTTTGCGCCATGCGCGAGGTGCTTTGCCCATGCAGGTCCTTTGTCTTGATCCGGTTCAGTTCTCATTTGTGGTTTCTAGGACCCCTTTCAAAGACTGGGTTCTATTTACAGAGGCCAATTGGGGGAAACTTCTATGTTAATCTGAGGGAGTGGTAGATTCATGGTACCATTTTCCTCTTGGGGAAGACTTCACTTGCAGACTTCAACCCCTACGACCCTCTCCCTTTTGGGGGGTTTGAGTATGTATTTTTGGCTGAGGTAAAGTTGTTTCGTTGGGTTTTTAAGGGACACCAGCCATCAACAGACTAAAGCCTACCCCATTTCGGAAATGTTTGAAAGGACAATCAAGGGAATCACTCATATTGGGGTTGTTTTGAAGCGAAACCAACAAGAACCCCCCTTCATTTGGATGTTGTAATGGAAAACCAGCGAAGCAACCAATGTTGGGGTTGCTTTGAAGCGAAACCAAAGAGACGCCTCCTTTTGGACATGTTTGAAAGGAAGATTCCAAAGCGACACATCGCCCATTAACCAAAGAGACGGGTTGGGCTTGGTCGGGTTTGGGTTTCCGAGCAGGGTGTTGGGAATGACCCGGAATCCCCTTACAGGAAATCAGTTGGATGGTTCGCAGGGCCCCTCATTCCGAGCCAGCAAAAATACGAACCGCCCAGCCTGAAACCAGAGAAGCTCGTGGGTTTCCAGGTGGGGACGCCCTTCTTCGTGCAGAGCCGTGCGCAGCAGCTGCTCGCGATGCTTGTGCCGGCCAGGGCGTGCGCCCGGGATACCCGGAGGTCCTGTTTTCGGGACGCTTTACGTATGAAGGCGAGGGTTCCTCCATTTTTCGTTTTTAGACCTCCAGTGGCGATCGTTTCAATGGAAGCCAGTAGATTCATCAGCTTTTGGATTTGGGGCAATCCTTTCGTGACCCCTTTTACTATGTGGAGGTTTCAGAACAGACATTTAGATTCTTCGAGCTGTTTGAGCGGGTTCAAAGTGGGCCGGGCGACAGGCGGTCGCCAAGGTGTCGGTGTTTTTGGGTGCTTTGGGAACTTGATCTGCTTGTGCGCAAAAGAAGCGCCTGGAAACCACCAAACCACCAAATCCAAACTACCAACGAGGGGGACCTAAATTCCATTCAGAGGGAACCTGAAGGAGATTGTTTATGCAACGCTTGAGACATGTGCAAGTGGTCCGAAGGTGTGTCTGCCATTGGCTTTTTGCACCAAGGGCATTGGCTGGGTCCGAGGCTTTGGCCGAAAGAGAGACATTTACAAGGCGGCGCTTTTTTCCATTCCTGTTTTTTAAAAGACAAACAAAAAAAACAAACAAAAGAAACAGGGGGGGCACCCTTCAGCGATTTGGGCTAAGCCCGCCCCCCGCCTCCTCCGTGGCCAAGGCGAAAGCGCTGCAGCGCCCGCAGGCGGCGCTGGGCCTGAGCCGGCTCTATGAAGGCGACTCGATGGGTTCGGAGCGGAGACTTGGGCCAAGGGGGCGGGGGGAGGGGGGGAACACTACGCGAGCGCAGGCGTGTGTGTGTGTGTGTTCTTGGGAACCCGTTTCAGCTTGTTCTAAAGGGAAATGAAAGGGGCGCCACTTTTTAAACCAGTTGCCCCCCCCCCCCCTCGATTTTGACACATGCTGAAATGGGTTGAAACAGCAAAGGGCATTTGGTCGCCTTAAAGGGTTGGGCAACTAGGTACTTGTGGTTTGGGCAACGCGGTTGTTTGTCTCAAGGTGAATCTGCAATTGTCTGCCTGTTTTATAGCGAGCTCACGGAAAGGGGGTAAAACGAGCGAGAACCACGATAAAGGTCCTTGGGGATCCCCTTAATTCAGCTTTGGAATCATAGTAAGAGTTGCAGATTTTTTGGAGTTTGACCTATTTTTCCATGTTTTGTGTCAAGCTCCAGGGGATTCCAACGGATTCAACGGACCGAGAAGCTCCGTCGACCGTCGCGAGGCGCGGAGGTGGCGGAGGCTGAGGAGGACTTTGAGTGGGTGGAGGAGGGCGAGGAGGAGGAGGAGTTCGAGGCGCGGGGGTGGGTTATAGGGGTAGCCGTGCTAGGTCCTCCATTAGAGAGGTTAGAATAAGTTTATTTTTTTGTTTCTTCTGTAGTCTATTTTAAGGGTTCAGCTGGGCAGAGACCCCGGCTGGGGAACCAAAACCGTGGCTTCTTTTGGAAGGAATATAGTTTTCATTTGTTGGAGGGTTCGGAATGGGCCAGAATCCAAGACGTTTGTCTTTAGTTGGGGGAGGGACAGAAAGTGAGAGGTAGCTTGGGGCATCATATCTCGCCAAATGATCATGCGTACGCCTGAAAACTAAACGAGGTCGCCCACGATGAATTTCCTGAAACGTTTTTTTTCCATTTCCGGTGGTGAATCCTGGTACTTAGGGCTTTCGCATTGGGTTGAAGAGCAATCAACAACCAGGCGGATGATTCGAGGAATGTTTGCCCTGCACCTACCCTTAGCTGGAACTCTTGGCAATAAGGTCTACTATTGATTAGGGAACAAAGAGCAAGACATAATTGCTATATCGGGAGTTTAAACAAGCATTGCAAGGGTTTGCAAGGGAACCATTGGAACCAAGAGCCAATCGCGGAGCTTGACTATGGCTCGTGTTGACGGGGGGGGGTAAACTCTTTTTTTTTCCCCGAGGGGGTGGGGATCTGCTTGCGAAGGACGACCCTCTGGTGGAGACGGAGGCTCGATGAGCCGAAGCGAGAGTACTGGATTGGTTGCATTTGGAGGGGCCCGTTCTCAAACTTGCCTTGCAGGCGGGCAAGAGAGAGTAGCTTGGTGGATGTTGCTTGAATGGACCCAGTAGCATGGCTTCATTCTTTTGCGCCATATTTGGGGGTTTATTGGGTAGCCTGAGAGTTGGGATCGTCAGCGGCCCCACAGTCCTGCACACGGGATGAGATGAACTTATGAACACCCATATGTCCAGGAGGGGACAGTCGCAATGAAAAAAGATGGGGGTATTTTTTAATTTGGAGGTTGCAGTCGCATTCCGGGTCATCGAAATCCGTACTTTGTGAGTTTTTGTTGTCGGTTGAATCCCTACACATGGAGCAGGGACCACAGCCGCCAAGCCTTTGACTCCCACTGGGCTAGAGCATCGACAAAAGAGGCACCCTGCCAGCAAACATGAGAGTGAGGCTTTTTTTTCAAGAGGAAAGTCGTATAGCAAATGGGGGTTGTTCGCTTCCATGCCTTTTGGTATGCCAGTATTCGACCGGTTTCTCTTGCAAGCCGCTTGATTTCTCTTGGATAATCCCCTCAAAGCTTGGGAACAGATGCTTTGGCAACAGCCGAAGAGCCAAGTGCTCTGCGAAAACGAGGTCATGAAAGAGGTTGAGCTTTGCTTTCTACAAGTGTAACTTTAAGTAATCACAGGGCGCACGGTGCTCAAGCCAGGCCGATCCAATCTCAGAGCATTCCTTGGGCCGGAATCAAAAGAGTCGATGAGTAGTTGGTTTCCTCTGCCCCGGCTTGCTTTCTCTTTAACAAGACCTAGCTTTTGACCTTGTGACACATGTTTGAAACCGCGCTTGGGGCTCACTGTGTTGCTTACTCATTTTCTGTAGATGCTCATCTTAGACCGGTATCTCTACCATAGCGATGCTGGAGCCAACAGTTCAACTTTCTGGAAGCAACTATACAACGGTTGGGTGTGGGTCAAAATTGAACCAGGAATCCGATCGCAGGTTTTTGTTTCCTTGTTTCCGTTGGGCAGGGGTTACCCTGTTTTTGACCACCACAACCAAAGGAGCGCCCCAGTTTTTCCGTTGGGCAACCCATCTTGGGGTTAGAATTTGAATTTGACCAACCAGTTGTGACCACCATAATTTGATACCCATATATACCCGATGTTTGACCACCACAACCAGTTCCGATATTTCTTTGGTTGGGGTTCAGCTTGACAGAACCAGAGGAGCACCCTGGCACAGGCCACAACGGAGCTTCCGGCCCATAGCCCAGGCGCCGCCAGTTCAGCTATGGTCTGTTTGAAGTCTGGGGGCCAAACTTTGTTTTCTATTTTTGTTTTCACTCTCTCTCTCTCTCTCTCTCTTTATACATGTATGTGTATATATATATATACATATGTAGATGTACTCGATTCTCTCTCTCTCTCTCTGTCTCTTTCCCTGTCTATATCTATACATACATATATATATATATGGAAATACAATCTTTTTGTATGCATCAACGTGTCCGAACCTTTCACGATGTTCTACTGTCTGACAGCAGGTGCCAGAGAATATGGCATAGTTCATTAGCCGCGTGTTCTCCTGAAGAAGATACTCCTTTTCTATTGGCTATTTGGCTTGTTGGACCCGAGGGCATGGGGCTCAATGGCCCATATCTTCTTAGTTCCCTAGTACTTCGCAGGGTGGTGTATTCATGGAATCACCCCCCCAAGCAACAGGTGTGATTCCTCGGAGAAGGGCAGTTGAGTGCATGGTTCCGTCGCTGAAAGGCAGTTCATTCTCGAATCGCCGAGTGGTGCTCTTTCTGGCCTGTCCAACAAAATGCCCGCTTTTGCCCATGGAAATTCAATGGGCTTCTGAGAACCCCGTCCTATTAGTAGGCAGTTCTCCCTTCCAAAAGTGGTCTGAACTGCCCAGTAAAAGGGGATACCCTCAATCAAAATCAACCAGGGGGTTAACTCCATCTGGGGCTCCCACCACCAACGCTTGCCCAAATTCGACCGCCTTGGCGAAGGGACAGCCGCAACAAATTTCCAGTGGAACACTTTGAAAAGAATGTGTTGCAAAATAAGGCGCCCTGTTTGGATGGTTAGGGACACGAAATCGAGGAAGCCAACCACCAAATGCCCAAACACGGGACTGCTGCTGTGTTTCTCACAATAGCGGTCCCTTTTTGTATGCAACACACCCCGCGGTTTCCGACCCTCTTTGGGGCTCGTTTTCAGGCTCCGAGCCCGAAAAAGACCGCGGCGAGAAGGCGAAAGCCGCGCGCGGGCGCCAAGGGTCTTGTTTTGAGGACTGGGACCTTTTGTTGCCTTTGCCAGGACAGGAGGTCGCGGAATCTCTTGCTGGAAAGCAAGAAACAGATTGGACCTCCCCGAAGGGGTTGCTTTAAAAAGAGACTGAGAAGGAAAACCGAGGCCATGTTCGGGGTCCGAGCCCCCACTTTGACACACACCCAAATGGAATCTGAACTTCAATAATTCACATCAACTTTAGAATCCTTTTGGGAGAGCCGCCTTTCTTCCATACTGATTTCCAGGCGGGTAGATCTCACGTGCTGGGTGCAGCTGACGTTGGCGGGGATCCGGCCCCTTCTTTCCGGGGTTCTTTCAGGCGGTTTGGAACACCTGGAAGGTTCATGGCTTTTTTGCTTCAAGCAACAGTTGAGCCTTGCCCCAACAGTTCTCTGGCGGCTTTGTTTCGGGCCAGGCACGGAAAGTGGGGGGTTTGTGGGGTGCCAGGCGGGCGGGCCGTTGTTTCTTTTTAGCAGGGTGTGGTAGAGGATCCAGGGGGTGCTAACATGGATTTCGGGCGGGGGAAGGGGGCGTTTGGGATCCAAAGATGAACATATGTAGGTGACTTATTTGTAAACGCAAAGGTTATGTACCACTTATGATGCTGCCTTAATGCCCGTATATAACCTCGGCGCCTCCAAACATGCCGCCTGACAATGACCTGAAGAGGGGAGTAGGGGGAGGTTCGGGATGATCCAGAGGCATGGGTAATGGTCAATTGATTCAATATTCCCGGTCATTTAGTGTAAAGGAATTGACAGTGGCGCACTCACCAAGACTATTTGTTACGCACCAAAGTCCAATGTCTCTTGGGGACTCCCGGAATACTGAGCGTTATTCATCAAAGACCATTTAGAAGGGACTTCCACGTTACCCTTATTGAAGGTAGTCTTGCGCATAGATACGATGAAGAAAGGATGAATGCGTGCAAGAAAACATGCGTGGGTTTGTGGCGGGGAAATAGATCGAGAGATAGATAGATAAATCGATAGGTAGACAGATAGACAGATCGGTTGATAGATAGATAGAACAACAGAACGTGAATTCTGCAGAGAAACATGTGACCCACGCAAAGCATTTTCGGACTTTAGGAAACAGCGAGAGGAAGAAAGAGAAAGAGAAGAGAATGAGCGAATAGGAGAGAAAAAGACAGGAGAAAGAAGAGTGAGAAACAGAAAGAGCTCGAGAAGGAAGATAAAGAGAAGGATAAGACAAAGAGAGAAAAGGAGAAAGATAGAAGGAGACGGAAACGAGAAAGGGAAGGATCACTTTTCTTCGTATACTTTGAAACTTCCGCCAACTGGCTTCGCCGGGTCTACCGGTATGTATGGAAAATTGGTTGGGGCCCACCCATCCCATCACCATATGGATAAAAACGCATGAACCCTATCTGGATGATTCAGGTCGTTCCATGCTTTGGTTTATGTGCCATGGTCACTTGGCAATCTTTGGGTTGGTCATCAACTTAGGGATTCTAGACAGCGTTCATTCATGACAAAACCCTGGCCATGAGCCACAAACATCACTGACTAAAGTGCCGTGGTCCATTTGTTTAGGGAACCCATATGGCAGTGGGCCAAAACCAACGAGATCCCATGTTGGGGTAGGTGAAATCACCACCCATTTTACTACCTATTTTGGTGGTTGGGATGTTCACTGGGGCTACGATTTGGGTCTTGACCCATGGCCACTGAGTGGCCCCAAGTGGCTCCGTCCGCTCTTAACCCCGAGCGCTCAGAAACGGAAGTCTATTTTCCCCTCTTGGTTTTAAAGGGAATCTATCGCTACTGGACATATTTTTATTTGTTCCAGGGGACGCAACCGCAAATGGAGGAAGTTCTTGACGGCGCCGCGCCCAGGCGCTCCGGCTCCGACTCGGACTCGGAAGTGGATCCGGATTCCTTGCTGGCCGAGGTGGAGGCCGGGGACAAATGGCCATGGGTCAAAGCCCAAATCGTAGCCCCAGTGAACATCCGATTCAATCCAACCACTGAAATAGACTAACATGGGTGGTGCACCTACCCCAAAATGGTGCCATTGGTTTTGAACCAGAACCAAATTGGTGGACATTGGGAGTTGAAGGCTCCGTCAAGGAAGTGGTGGGCTCGATTTTGGCGGGCCTCCTTCTTTGGGATGTCTTGGTGCTGCAAAATGATGGCTGTGGGTCAAAACCAATGGGATCCCATTTTGGGGTAGGTGCACCTCCATTCTAGAACCTGTTTTAGTGGTTGGGATGTTCACTGGGGCTACGATTTGGGTTTTGACCCCATGGCCAGATGTCTATGTGTCCAGATTGCATTTGTGCTCTCCGACGGTCCGACGGCCGTGGCCAGGACATCCTGAATGCCAAGAAGCCGTCCTCCGACGAGGATTTGCTGCAGGCGTGCGCGGCGCTTGCCGCGAGTGACGGCGCACACGCACAATCCCCAGACCTCCAGCGGTGAGCAAGAATAAGAACTCGGGCAGGTGAAGGTTAGTGGGGGAGAGTCCCAACCAAAGTTAGGTGTGACCGGCTTTTAATTCATTTAGATTGGTTAAAGGGACTTGGTACCAGGTTTTGATTGTGTCTTTGGCGCCCTTTCTTCCATGGCCACTGGTCTGGGTCAGGGAAGCACTCACAAAAGCCAAATCAAGTGAATAGTCTTGCATTCTTATTCTTGCCACTTCTTGTGGTGAGCTCACCTTGGGCTAAAGTCCTTCCTTCATCCAGGTAGATGAGTTGTAGTACTTGAGGTTAGCGCCAACAGCTCTGTGCCAAGATATATTACTTACTAGTTTCCAAAGACGGAAAGCTTTGTAGTACAGACTAGTTGCTAACTCAGAACTACTATTTGCTCAATACTAATTACTAATGACTACTTACTACTTGCTATTTACTACTTACTACTTACTGGTTCCTTACTAAGTAAGAATTACTCATTACTAATTAGGCAGTACTAATCACCAATCTTCCAATTGCTAACTGGTAATTACCAATTTCTAGATACAAAAAGCCAAGTACAACTACACATTTCAATTTACACACTACCAGTCACTAATTGCAAGATCCGAATTTTGAATTACTAGTTACTAATTACCATGCACTTTCCAATCACGAATTATTGATTAGCAATTAGTAGTTAGTAATTGCTACTTACGGATTACTAATTTCCTTCTAATTGCTAATGGCTAATTACAGTTACTTTGGAATTACAGCATACTGATTAGCAATTACCAATTGCAACTTACAAATCACTTGTTACGCTTTAATTACTCATCAGCGTAGCAACTACTAATTACTAAGTACTAGTTACTTGATGCTGATGATACTAGTTACTCAATGCTAGTTGCCTATGACCAATTACCACATACGAAGTACTCAGTACTGATTACAACTTACTTACCAATTACTAATTACGATGTTCTTTCTATTTTCCATCCATTTTTCTATTTGTTATTTGCTAGTTGCTAGTTGCGAATTGCCATTTCTCGTAACTAAAGATTGCCAATTCCTAATTCCTAATTGCTCTTAGTAATTAGTGATTGCAACTGAACTCCGGTTGGTTATTGCAGATTACCAGAGCATCCTAGAGCATCATTTGTGCCGTCGCCTTCCTCCACGTTAAGCTATACCCCTCTTCCCGTCCGAGCTTCCATGGATTCACTTGAGGGAGGGCTTTTCAGCGTATGGGTCTTTCCCCCTTTTGGGTTCTCCCTGCAATCCTTGGGGCGACGCTTGCGGTCTGTTTCCCCTTTCCGGGATTGACACATCTCCTGCTGTTAGCTTCCTTTCGGTGGAATGGACTGAGTGTTCCTTGGGGGATCAGAAGAAACCCATGAGTCTCAGACACGTTTACGGGGGGTTTTCATCGAAGCTGATCATGTAGCGACCACCTGCTCCTTGGCAGCAGTCATTATTTTTCCCTGGAACATGTTGACATTCAAAATCGATGAGTAAGCACCATGCATGCGAGAGTGATTTCCAAATGACCAACTTGACTGCCATTGTTAGCCAGATGTTTTGCTCGAGTATCCTTTTTTTTTCTTCCGCCGAGCTAGGGGTCTACCGGGTTTGTCCTTTTTGAGGCTCGGTATCCAAGATGAGGTTAAGGGAAGCCGCGTGGATACAACCTCATTCTTGGGGTTGGTCCATAGAAGGAGCCATGACTGGGGATCGGATCCAATGCTCGTTGGGCCATTTGCTCCAGGCTTTGTGGGCCAACGCGGGCGTTGGTGTGCCAACTCTTTTTGAATGTACATTGCGCCCCATAGAAACACTTGAGCTCCGTTTTTTTTTTTTTTTTTTTTACAACTAGACTGTGTAACGTGTCCAAGTGAATCGCTTTTTCACAGTTTCTCAAACTGTTTTTGGGTTTGACCTCGTAACACAAAAATCCTTCAAGTTGCGCTCGCTGTTTGTCTCACAGATATCACAGATATCTGGAGATGCTCCATCTGTCGTGAATCGCTTCGCAAGGGTGCCCAAGAAACAAGCCGATTCTGGAGGTTCAAATGTCAGACATCCACCAAGGAGGTGACTTCCGGTAAAGAGCAGCCTTTCGTGTCTGATAACTGGTACTTAGTTCGTAGCTTGGATTGGTGCGGGGATTCGATCCCCATGGTTTTTGTGGACCGTTTTCTGGGGGCTCACCCCACCAAGCCCCCGGGCTCCAAGCAATGAGAACAGCTGATCGGTGGATGAATCATCAAGCGGCCCTTTCTGGGAGTCCTCAAACGGCTTTCTAACCTTGCTGGTCCTCAGGGAATGAGAAGTGGAACGACCAAGGGGACCCCTGGGTTCGTTCCATTTCGCATTCCCTACCTGCTGTGGATGGACGAAATCCGTTTCGCACCACCTAAGAAGCCCTGGAATGATGATTTGTTTTTTTGCAAATGGCAAACAATGGTTGCCGATGGTTTCCAAGTGGCGCGAAATGGATTTCGTCCATCCACAGTATTGCACCCATCGCCAGCCAACGCTGGCCGGGTTTCTCGAAGCGGCGCCCGTGGGCGCGCGTCGATGCGCGCGCGTTTTTTCGACTCGAATGGCCAGGCGCTGGTTGCCATGGCCGCGGTGGACAACGAGGAGGCCGGATTTGTTTGGCGCTGAGCTGAGCTGTGGCTCAAAAAACCGGAACCAAAACGGAACCCTGGTAAGTGGAAACCTGGACCAAAACCTGCGTAAGCCCCCCTGTTTAATTTTGAGCCACACCCAAGTTGAGCTGACCAGGGAGCTATGGGAATTCAAGCACGCACTCACGAGTCCGGCGATCTTTTCCCTTGTTTTTTTTTTTTGGGATCTCAAGCGCGAGTTCCATGAGGGATGCGGTTTGCTTTTTCATGGAACGACTCCGGGAGCGGAACCCTCCTCGGTTTTTTCGGGTCAAGCACGCTAATTCCCAAAGAAGAAGGATTCAACAAACCTTACTAACATGACATTGCCGAAACAAACTATCCAAACGGACTTCCGAACTGCTTCTTGATCAAAAAAATCCGAGTGACTCAAACCAACTCAGCTTCTTGACCTGCATCAATCCGACTCAGCTTAGTGGAAGGTGGCGCAAGGGAAGTACCAGGCGAGTCCAAGAGCGTCGCACGTCAGTCGCATCAGTCGATGCCCAACTTTCGTGGTTTCAAGATATTGCTGGCTATTCGGGCAAATGGTCATTTTGCCAAGCAATCAAGACAGTTTGGTAGGGTTGTTGTGGCACCCGTTTTTTGGAGCGAATTTATCCAAAATTACCCGTTTGTGCTGTTCCGGGTTTGCTCGCGGTTGAGGTTTGCTTTGCTTCGTTCCGCGAGGTTTAAGCTCCTGAAAAGGGGGTGATAAAGCCTGCCATTTTGGACAACCACCCCTTTGCAAACAACCCTTTTCAACCAACCCCTCTCGAAAACCTCGAGACTACAGCGAGGAACACCACAATTTTGGGTTTTCCTTTCGGTCTCCCTTTAAACCTCAAAAAGCCCCCCCCCCCCCAAAAAAAAAGAAGAAAAGAACAAGAAAAAGAAGGTATCCTCAAGAAAGCAACAGACTCACTTCTTGATCCGAGGGACAATCGGAAATTCATAGCGAGACGTCTCAAGGAGCTGCGGCAGCTGCCCCCTTGGCGCCTCGGCGCGGCGCGGAGCCGGCGCCTGGACGCGCTGTGGACCTTCGCGGCGGCGGCGGCGCGCGCGGAGGCCTCGCTGTGGCGGCCCGAGGCGCGGGCGTGGCGCTTCGTTTGGGGCGGTGTCCACGTTGTGTCTCTGCACGTGCCTGCATGATGCTTCAGACTGCGTTGTTCGAATGGGAATTTCCGGTGCGGGTTTGAGAGGAGTTCGAAAGAGGGAGGGTTTTTTGGGGGAGGAGGGTTTTGGGAGGAGGGTTTTTTGGGGGGAGGGGGGAGGAGGGGAGGAGGGAGAGGAACGTGAGGCGAGGGGAGTTCTTGTTTTAGGGTGCACCCTGATGGGAGTTTTCCTTGCAAGCCACCAAGCAAGTTAGTTAACTTCGGATGAATAGCGAGGACCTGCTGATCGAGGGTGGAAGGTGATTGTGAGGTGGTTCCTTTAAGACATCCTCAAAAGACACACGCCCCAAAATCGAGCCGCAAGGGGGGGGTTCACAGGGAGAATGCCCAAGGGCAAGTGGTTGATCAACCAACCATCCAACTCGTCCCTTCCCCCCCAAAGAGGAGTTCCACCTGTCTCTTCCCTGTTGCCCAGTGGGATCCTTTTTCCCTTGTTCTCCTTTTCACTCAACCAACAAAAAAAGGGTGCCCCGTTTTTTTTCCCCACGGCCACTCGGCATCTGAGTCTTTTTCAACCCCGTTTTGGGTGTTCTTTTGTAGGGGAATAGGTTATGTGCCATGTCCAGGCCACACAGCCCCCCACCCAATGTATCCAGGTGCGGGACGCTTTGGTGAACGGTGCGCAGGCAGGCAATTGGGGGCCTTGCTTGGTCTCTTCTGATTTAGAGGTTTTGCCTGTGAAGCAGGCGGTTTTGGCCGGCCAAGCAGTATCCTTCAAGGAACCTTTTGGAGGAATTGGCCCATTAAGCATGGGTCGAAATAGAGTAACTCGGATGGGGGCCACGAAAAGGTTGTTTTATGAGTTTGGCCTCAGGTTGATCCTAAAGTATTTGGGCTTCAAAGTCCCCAGAACACACCCAATATATATGTAAGTATTTGGACCCTTATAGCGTATTGGCTAGAGGTAAAGACCTGCGTCTTGTGAATCTGAAGGTAGACATTTAGGCAGCTGGCTGCGGTGGCTTGCCAAGATCCACTCTCACTGTGGTTTGAACATGTTCAAACATAATGAACATATCCTACAAAGTAGACTTCAGATCCATGTACCGTCCACCGCAATCTGTTGGTGAATGACTAAGTCATTTTTGCCGATTTGCGCTTTGTTTGGCGGATTTCACCTGTTCCAAGCCTTTTGTAGGTTCTCTTGTAGTACTCTTTTCATCTCCTACAGGGGTGGATCCACAAGAACCGCATCTTTTGATACCCAGGCGTAAATCCACAGATTCGCCGCAGCCAACACCGTTTCCTAAGCTATCCACAGATTCGCTGCATCCAAACCGTTTCCTAGACAGCTGAGGTAGTTCTCAGATCACCTAAGTAGACTTCGGATCCTGGTTAATCTGTCGACCAACCAACAAACCAACCAACCAACCAACCAACCAACCAACCAACCAACCAACCAACCAACCAACCAACCAACCAACCAACCAACCAACCAACCAACCAACCAACCAACCAATCAGCCAGTCAATCAATCAATCAATCAATCAATCAATCAATCAATCAATCAATCAATCAATCAATCAATCAATGTCAGGGGCCTCTCATACCCCCTTGGTTTCAGATCGAGGCATCCCAGCCGGACGCCGTGCGCGTGAGCTCGCTGGGCGTGCTTTCGGCGCTGGCGGCGGCTCGGCTCGCTGCCTCCGTGTAGTTCTTCGGAGTGAAGCTCTTGGGGTGTTGGGGAGGGGTTTTGTGGAAGTCCTCAGCAAGCCCCGGAACCCTTGCTCGGAACAACGCCCGGAGCGAGGGGAAGTAGCCCAAGGTTCCAGGTTCGGGTGGTGCATGTCCACACAACATGAGCCACAATCAAACCCCGGGTAAGTGAAGGTCCATAAGGGACGATCCCAGCCATAAATAGCCGCGGCCGCCTGCTTAGCTTTTTACATGGTTTTGGGTCGACCATTTTTGTACCGGGTTTTGATTGTGACTCACCTTTGGCTCACTGGCCCAGAACTCGCTGGCACTTCCAGTGGTTGGATTTTGGAAAGTTTTTCAGGTTTTCGTCGCTTGAACTTGAATGCTGATGCAGGTGATGCAGTCCCGCATCCCCAGCATCACCCGTAGCATCCCTTTGCGTGCGTTCATACGAGTAGAACAAATTTGGGTTGTCCGACAGCCCTGAGCACAACAAAGGTAGCCCTGCATGGTGCTTGCAAGGATGCATGATAAGAGGCCTGGCGTATTTCTCTCCTGAAAACGCGCTCTTTTGCGAGCTGGACGCCGTTCCTTGAAAACGCGGTTTGTGCCGCCCTGCTCATTCCCATACTCCCTCTGCCACTGGCGGTTTGTGGGAGGGTTTGTTTCGTGTTATACATCCTTCGTGTCAGAGCTTATGCAACACTCTCACGTATCCCCAAAACGTGTTTCCTGGGTGTCCCTGCCTCCTTCGCGTCGAGGGCCTCCTTCGTGTTGAAAGACTTGTGAGGATGAGTGGTCCTCAAACTGGTTGTGTGCCAACATGGCACGTCATCTGGTGTCAGATCGCTTTTTGTCCTCCAGAGTCACCTGAAGCCGGTTTATTAATATGGGGGTGTTCCTCTCCAGTGATAAATCCCCACTAAAACCGGGGACACCCCCATATCAATAAACCGGGGCGTATTAATCCGGGGTCAACATTACCTTGTGCGAGCAACCTCAAAGTATGGGCCTCTTGGCATGACCTCGCGGAACCCACCCGCATCGTAGAGATACAAAAAACCCTAGTCACAAAGTAGAGGGAAAAAACAGCCACCAACTCATGGTTCCGGAAAAACCCGATGAATTTGTGATACCAAAGTGGTTGGGGTCACTTCACTTGAAAGAGGATCCCCTTGGCATCACAGAAACCAACGCGCTGGATGGAGCCGCGAGAGGCCCGGGAGGAGAACCGGCAAGCGATGTGGCGGGATCCGCAGGTGCGACAGGCGCCCAGATCGACGGGACCAGGGTGTTGACTGGATGGGTTCCCTGGTTTCTCCTTAGGTGCAGTTTGCCAAGGGATGTTAGGACTGAATCACTTGTTGCCAACTAATGGGTTTTCCGTATTTAACCACTAAAAGTTAAACTTTTAGCAGGGGAGCAGAAAGCAACCGAGTCTCCCTTGCCACCGGCTTCGCTCAGGTCTCCTTGGCTGGTGAATTTAGGAGTGTAGGACTGCCTGTTTTGCTCATAAACGGCCACTGAAGTTTAACACCACCTGACATCAGCTCAAGCAAGTTTGGGTGAATTCCTGCTTGAGCAGTCTGGCACATCATGCTTTCCCAGAGATGTTGCCGCAGATGCAAGCCTTGCAACCACCCAAAAATGAGTCTCCCACCCCTCCAAGTATTTGCTTCGATCGCATGTGCGAAAAATGTGAGCTTGCTCCAGCTCTCGTTTCTTCATGGCCGCCCCATTTTGGTTCAATCCTTTCGGATTGAGAGGAATATTACAGGTGAGGACGCAGATGAGTTCCGATACAACTCTCTTGCCGGATGGTCCTATCAGCTTCCTCTTCTCGGATCCTTTGGGAAGCGATGCCCAACTCACAGCTGAAGATCCCCGTGCAGGGAGTTGTCTACTACGGATCATCCAGGGGAAAGGTGCCGAACTTGCTTTACTCGCCTATATACTTATGGGTCAAAATTACCCACTGGGCTGCAGGGTTGAGTCCCTGATTCCATTTATCGGAGTTCCATTTTGGGTACCTATTCTTGACCCACAGCCATATGCGTCCTTGTCGACTCAGACGGATCGTTCTCTGGGCTATTGCCAGATCAGGAGGTCTACATCCGTTTCCATCTTGACCTTGGCCTTGTGAGCTATGCCCGTGAGTAGCTTGTGGTCAAGGATGTTCCGCTCTCGGATGCTAGAAAGTTGGTAGAAATAGAAGGACCACTGCCTTCAGCAAGTTCCAACGATGTCGGACTGATCGAATCAGATCCATAAAGTTGGAGTCTATGACAGGGAAGCCCAGTATGCCATGGCACACGGTAACGGCAAGTTATCCTATGGCGAACTCACAGATCTGGGGGGGTGAAATGAGCGAAAACGTTTTCATGATGCAGGTCCTTCACTTAGTTCTCCAATTCTTTTTTGAGGTTTGGGGATTCTTCTAGAGTTTGTGCGGGTGTGTCTTCTTTAAGGTGCCCTTTTTGTGGTTTTTCAAACAGAAACCAAAAGGAAATTCCACCTTCTTGGGGGTCCAACCTTGAAAACGACGCACCCGTATGGACATTTGCCATCACTCTGGTCGCGTTGGGTATCAGTGTCAGCCACCCCGTCAGGTCTTCGTGCTGGCAGCCGCTGACCAGACGTCGCCAGGTGCGAGCGCAGCAAACCTTCCTGTAACAGGGGTAGACTTAGGACACATTTTACATTTTACCAGTGACTCAAAGTGAAGCAAACACTAAAATATACATTCTATCACTGCGCCTAACTTTTATTGTGGTAAAGCTTGGTCCGGTTTGTGCCAAAGATCCACACAACTGACAGCCGTGACAGGGAATCCACGTTTTGGTGTGTGCCCTTTGACCAAAGCCAGAAATCCAACGGCGGGGCTCAGGTGCGGCTTTGGGTCTTTGATTCTTGGGGCTAAAAGCAATCGTCCCAAGCGGAAAGTGGGGTTTTGGTGTGGTTTTGGGGTGCCTCTTGCGAAGCGCAAGGACCCACTACGGCCCCTTTTTAAGGGTAGACTCCTGTGTGATGGTGTGGGTTCCACGCGAACATTTGGGGAGTAGAAATGTAAGCGACTGCACAAAGCGCTGCGAGATGCGTTACTTCAGGAGAGGACGATGTAACTCTTCTCGTTTTCTTTCCATTTTTTTTGCGGAGTAGCCCTCCAAAATTGTTAGCAAAGCTTATGGGTAGAACCTTGAAGAGTCCTCTGTTCCCTTCACCTCTGCCACATTTCTTCCCCGGTCGGCTCGGAATAATTTTGATGTAGCTTTGACGTCTGGTTGCCTTCGCAAAGTCATAGAAACTCCGAGGGTTGGCCAAAAGAGAAGCGAGGGTTGTGGGATCACTCGGGTTTTATCCAACCACTGTGATACTTTTGGGAATCTCCCCCCTTTATATGGGGGGTTAGTCTTTGGGAATTTTGTTGTATCACAGAAGTGGATTCCATTTCCCACAGCCCTGGAAGCGACTGTTTCCCAAGTGAAAGCCGAAGACAGGTCCATGGCCATTTTCCATACGATGGCCTCGCTTAGCGTGCGAAGCGTTCATCTCACAGCTGCGTGCTTTACACACCCATTTAGAGACGAGCATGTCCATTGCAGAGCCCAAGTCCTGACAAGTTGCCCTTAGGCTGGAAATTGCTGGCAGTGAACCATTCCCCAAGACTTGCTGGTGCTCAAGGAATGAGATGGCTTGTGGTTTTCTTGGGAGTCTTCGGGTTCATTCCAACTCATTCCCTACTTACCGCACCAGCTCAACCGTGGCTGGAGTAAGCCGTAAAGCGTGACCGCGGAGCTCGGCCTCCTGGGACCTTTTCCGGGCTTCTTCTTCGTCGTTCGGTCCTGCGTGTTTATATTTTCTTTTTGTTCTGTATGTTAATGTCCCTCCTTTCCTGGTTAACAGGTGTTTTTTGCCTCCACTTCTCTGCTGTTGAGTGTTCATGAGTATCTTTTTTTGTTTGGCGCAGGCAGTGGCGAGGCCAGCATGGGAAGCGATCGAGGGATCGACCAATCGCGGGACGTGGGAAGCCGGAAGCTAAGTGTGTGTTGGGAGCGGGAAGGCCACGGGTAAAGAGCCCCTAGCCTAGATGTCAGTTTGAGCCGATAATTTCCTCCGAAATGAACAACTCCTGGTATTCTTCTGCCTTGTCCAAAACCAGACAGTCAAACTTGAACGTTTCAGACGGGTGCCTTTCTTGATTGGGCTAGCCTTCATGGATTGCTCCCAAGCGAAGCTAAACATGAAGGGGGAACCACTGGCTGGATTCAAGGAACAAATTGAATTAAGCTACCATTTTGGGGTCCACATCTCCACCATCTTTGCCGGAATCTCCGACTCAACCGGAAGGTTTGGTCTGGGATGGCTTGATTCTTGGCACGGGCTGCCATGCGGCATTTTTGGGAGATGGGCCCAAAAGATTGAATTTTGCGAGGGGCATCTAAGAAGAAAGGGGCCCGGGCATTTCAGGAAAAAGTGAATTTCCAGTCTATGGTTTCTTTGGACATGGGGCACGTGAGAGAAAAACAAGTGAATTGGAGCAGAAGTTTGAAATTTGCAAGGGGCATGTAATGAAAAAAAGGGTGAGTTTCTAATTGTCCCTTTTGGACAATTGGGCATGGGGGAAATTCACAAGCTGTCTTTTGGAATGGTCAATTTCCCCTTGCAAAGGGTCAATTTTTCCACAACTCCAGCGGGCGAGCCCTTGGGAACATGCAACTTGACCACTGTGTTGGGCCCGCATCGTCAGCACCCTGACCGGCGTTTGCGGGGCATTGCCGCCGCACGACTCATGAATCTTTTGTGGAGTCCGCCGAAAAAAAACGAGCGGGCAGCACATCAAGAATCCAACCCAGTGGCTTCTGTTTAATCCCATCCACACCAAAGAACACCGACTAAACCTTTGTTTTTCAAAACGGAGGCTGGGTAGTGGATCCTTCGGGCTGCGTGAGAAAAGCCAAGTGTGGTTTGAGTTTTCTGGGCCCCCCTTCATCGCACCATTGATCTTGTTTCCACAAATGCAAGCGGAAGGGTGCCATTGGTTTCCGCAAGCCTTCAAGCCCCCCCCCCAAACAAAAAGAAGCAACAAACAAACAAAACAAACAATCAATCCAACAACAAAACCATGGATGTTCTTTTCCGCAAGCCTTCAAGTGTTCCTGGGAGGACGGCTACATGTGTTTCTTTCGTTTCTTTCCGCACACGTTCTTTTTTTCGTCTCGCCAGGATGTGCGGCACCTGCGCCCCCAAAAAACGGAGCTGCGGTTGCAGGCGATTCATGAGGGCCACGCGGGTCAATCGGTCGGTGCCCATGGGAAGCTGAAACCGAGGCTCGGGGAGGCTTCGCCACCGTGGCTTGGATGTGTTTACAGGACCCAGGCCATGTGGAGGGCACCGGCAGTTTTTTTGGTGAGTCAGCGCGACTTCGAGAAGCAAGAGGAGAGAATCTTGGGGTACCGGGTCGTACCAGGGTTTGCACTTCGTCAATTCCGGGTCTGACGAAATATGAAAGAGAATCTGTCCTGTACCAGTTGGCAGATTATTTTTGTCCAATTCACAGGTTTTCATCCATCCTCGTGGTTGGACCAGGACCCATCTTGTTTCCTGGTTTCCTTTTACATACATATATATATATATATACACATAAAGAACACCACCATGCTGTTACACAACTAAGCATAAAACAAATCAACATTTGGTGTTTATCGACATACACCCACCAACACTCACTGCCAACTTTGGCGTCCTATTTTCCATCACCTGCGTCAAGGCGCTGCTGGGGCTCTGGGCCTTCGCGGAGAATGAAGAGCTTCGCCAGGAGGGGGCGAAGCGCTTCGCCGGAGCTGAGCGTTTGCAAAAACATCCTAAGCTGGGTACCCCAAGAAAAGGAGCTAATGGAACATGCAAAGAACTAGAACCCGAAGTAAAGAATTTCCACACGGCCGTTTTGGTTTAGTGATCAGGATCCCCCCCCCCCCCCCACCCTTTCTCTGTAAGTGGACCCCCAAAATGAGCAATGGATCAAGAGAGACCGTGGGAGAGGACTTGGAGGGACCGGGTTTTTCATTTTACATGAGAGGCTCGGAGCGGTGCTACCAGAAGTTCAGCTACTGGACGTGGTACTTAAAGAATAACCCCGAGCAAGGAGCCACATCTGGCGAAATTTCTCAGAGCTCGCCATCGCAATGCTTTTGCTCAGGATTTTTTTGTATACGGCGGCGAAACTGGAAACGGAGAATCCGTTCTAGATGTCTAAAACGCTGACCAAATGCTGTAAACGGCTTCATTCTAGCACATGTGGCTTTGGCCACCCACGCACAGTTTCCGAGCTTTCGGCAACAATCACAAGCAACACCTGCCCAGACGCAAGAAACAAAGAGATCGAACGCCCCAAGAGCTCCCAAAGCCTGCACAGGCACAAAACACATCGACTCCGGTGGAATGTCAGCAGAGCCTTGAGTTGTCGAGCCCAGTCAATCAGCGCTTCTGAGAGGGCAGGCATCGTTGCTCAAAGTTTATGTTGGGCGTGGCATTCCTTGAAAGTACCCTTTGTTTGGTGGTTCTGAAGGCAAACCAGCAGGGCAACCACCATGTTGGGGGGTCTTAGAACCGACACGTCCAGCTGCTTTTCGGTGCCTGTGTTTTTGGAAGCTTGTTTTGGGTTGCCAAAGCCAAAAACTGGGGTCGGTTCCCTTCAACCTGTCACGTATGAGTTTTCATTGGAGACCCTGTGGTGGACATCATTTGGGTTGGGATTTCTGTCCAGCCACCCAGTTTTGAGGGGTCAACACTCATGGCCGTATCGGGAAGGTGGCTCGGATTGGTGGTCTGGCCTAGGAGCGGTAACTATGTACCCCATATTCATAGCCTTTAAACTCTGCTCCTCCACTTCATCTGCCAAGTTTTCCGTATATTCCAACATCTGAAATAAGAATCAGATCCCAGAGGTCCTCGGATAGGTGAGCTCACCATAAAAGCCTTCTGATTCATGAACCTAGTAGGTCAAATAGGGGTTCATGGCCCCAAAAGGTGATCACCTTGCATTCGCGGGTCCCTATCTAAGGGGCAACCGAGTCTTGATTTGACATTTTTGACACAGAGGTGTTTCGCCCTTTCAATCAAACCGGGGCCCCATGAAAGATTTAGACAATACGTATGCATTTGGGGATGGACACACTTGCATGCTCTGTTACCCAACTGTTGAAGGTGTTGTTGACACTGTTAGAGGGCAGAGCCAAGTGGTGCCATCTTGGAATTGTGAGAGCTGACCATGATGCATGCAAGTGTCTTGTTTCTGTTCTGATACTTTCCGCATTCTCTTCCAGATTCTCGTTTTCTCTTCGTGGGACCCCACGATTAATAACCCCCTGGTTGATGAATAGGAGAGGGTGTCCTCCACTTTTTTTTTGTTCTTTTCTTTTTTTGCGGAGCCCAGTCGGCTTTGATTCAGCCGATGTCGGCATGAATCAAAACCAGTTGGATCCTGGCGGAATGCTTGGCAAACCGTTTGTTTGAACACATACAGAGCAGCGCCTCATTTGACATCAGACTTCAATCCCAGGATTTTACATGACATTTGCTGAGCAACCACCAAAGATAAGGTCTTCCCGTAGATTTCCCTGTAGCTAGTTTCTTAGACCATTCAGAGTCAGTACCAACAGACCTTCGGTTAGCTCAGGAGATTTGGAGCGACAGCCGCATCGCAGTGCCCTCGGGATGTCGCGATAGCTCCAGAAGAATGGATGATGTGCTTTTTTGCTGCAAGGGCTGCTTTTTCTTAGGTTGGTTGGTTGGCTGGTTGGTTGGTTGGTTGGTTGGTTGGCTGGCTGGCTGGCTGGTTGGTTGGTTGGTCGGCCAGTTGGTTGGTGGGTTTGGCCAGGTCCCCGGCATCTAGGGCCTGGGGTGGCCCATTGGCTTTGATTCGGTGGCAGCTTTGATGTTTCTGTGGGTGGGTTTTGCTTGGAGCGGCCTTGGGGTTGGGTGTGCTGCTGGTTTAGCAGCGGCAACTTGGGATTGCTTTAGCGTTGCCCCAAATCACCAGCAGCTAAACCAGCGCACCTAACAAAAAATAAGCGCCAAGCGAACCTCACACCCCCCCAACGTCAACCCAAAACCCGCCCAACAGCAGCCTGGATGAACCCCCAAACCAACCCAAGACCCACCCATCAGTAAGATCTATCTGCGGCAATACTCCTGGAAGAATCTGTGATGATCAGACAATCCGCGTGGCTTGCCCCTGTCAACCAACTGGGGTTGATTAACAGGAGGTCAACATTAGGAAAAATTGGTCCCGGCTTCAATGGAAGGACAGTGTTTTAAAAGTGCAATCAAACTAAGCAAAGTTGCACTCTGCAAATACACCTTTCTGCAATCAGGCCAACATGGTGTGAAAGACGACACAATTCAGACCAATGCTCCAAGGAAAATAGGCAGTGTACTTAGGTGCTACCGACTTCCAAGCCTCCTGAGTGGTTGGGTCTTCAAACGCTACTGGCTGGATGGCTGGACCAAATCCTGCGGCAGTTGGGATGGAGGAACCCCTATATAAGTGGGACAAACCACCTACCAGCTGGGTGTGAAGTGGAATTTGCCCATCCACAGTATGAGGGTCCTTTGAGTGTCTCAAAATAGGGACCCGCTTTTGGATGGCTTCCAAGGTATGCAAAGGAAGCCAAGTATTTGGAAGGGTCCCTAACTTCGAGAAACATCCAACTTTGAGTGGCAAAATAGTTTCGGCGCCCCCCAAAAGAAACGGAGGGTGTTTTTTTTTTGACTTGTGGTTTTTCAAGTCCAGGTATAGCACGTATCCTCAAACAAGCACCCCGGAACTCTCAGGTGGCGTCCCTGCGGACAGCAGCGGAGCAGCCGCCGCTGAGGCGCAGTTGAACGCCGGAGAGGTGCTTTTGGCTTTCCAGGCCCAGCTGGCTTCTGCCCCAAGAGCCGTTTGGTTTTTTGGGTTGTCCCTCTTGACTCTTGTGGCATTTCCAGTTCAGCTGGAGATTCTGCCCCAAAGGCCAGGCATGGATTTTTCGGACTGTCCCTCTTGCCAGGCAAGCTGACTCTTGCCACGAATCCGATTCTCCCGAGTTCTAGGGAGTCTCACGCCGTTTTCGGCGGTCTTGATTCTCAAGCTGCTTGACCCGACTTCTCCAACAGGGCTCCTTAAAAGATCTCCATGTTGCGACCATTTGACACCATTTACAAGTTGCAATGTTCAGGTGTATAGTGCATTCGGATCCCTGTCCAACCCCTTTCTGAAACTTCAGGTCTGCAAGGTGAACAAAGCCACCTGCACCAGGTGGGTGTGTTGGTTTTTCCTCTCCATTTCAGAGGGTTTCGCCAAGTTTCGACCAAGGTTTTACACACCTTTGGAGCTTTGGAAAGGGGGGGGGAAAGCCGCGGCTGCCTTCGCCTTCGCCATAGGAAGATGGCGTTGGCCGTGCTGCAGCGCCTGCCTTGTGCCGAGAACCAGGTGGAGGGGGGGATGGGGGCGGCGGGGGAGTTGGGAGTTGGGCGCGGGGTATGGTAGAGGGATGGGAAACGAGACACCAAACAAGGGAAGCTGACACAAACACTCATGGACTAGTTTGTTTTTAAATTTTAGAAGAAGGAACCTGCTCCCAATTGTTTTGTCGGCATGCTTTCCACATGTTCAGTGGCTTTTCATGTTCAGTGGCTTTTGCTAGCAAGGTTAGCGAAGAAGACATTCTGGGGGGGGGGGGGTGGTTCCCCCAAAAGTGATCCGGACCCTCTTAAAAACGTGACGCCTATGAATCTGCTGGTCTAATCCTGTCAAGATCACTGAGGTTGACTACTCCGGCAAGCAAACGGGACGGCTTCCCCCCCCAGCCCCCCCCCAGCCCCCCCCAGCCCCCCCCCAGCCCCCCCCCCCAGCCCCCCCCCAGCCCCCCCCCATCAGTTTCTTCCTCGCTGAGTTCCTGGACTTTGAGCTTTTGGGCGGACCATGTCGGCGGTAAACGAGTAGTTTGGACTGTTTTTGCTCGATCGGAAGGGCAGGGTGCCAGAGCTTGGCTGGTTTTTGGTGTGTCCCCAAAGGCCCCTTAGACCTTTTTGGAAGCAAAGGCTTTCTCCGGTAAGCCTGCAAATGGTCGGATGTCCGTTGCATGAATTGGTTCTAGTTGTTTAGTTTTTGTGGTCCTGATCATTGTTAGTGGGGGCTGAGGACAAAAAAGAAGCCTGTTGCTACCATACCAAGGTTTTTCACCTTCCCCATTCTCTTGCCAACTGGAGTAGCCTCTTTGCCAGCATAGCACCTGACAGGGAAATCTTCTAGGTACCCTCACACAGCTATGCTAGAAGGGAGGGCATGTATATTTCTACATGCGTTCGTGGTGTGGGGGGTATTCGCCGTAGCCGAGGGGATTTAAATTCCAATCAGGAAATGGGGTTGCTCGCGAGAATTCCAGTCGGGACCCATTTCGATGCTTCCCTGGCCTAAAACGTGTTTCCCAAGATCCATTTCTTTGGTTCTAGCTGGAGGACCGTTTCTTTTGACTATTGAAAGTAGATGAACAAGGTAAGGTTTCGCTGGTACTTGCATTACTTTGGGGGCATTCAGCAAATATGGGTACGTCTTTTTTCGCCCCCCCAAATGGTGGGCTTTCCTTGAACACAAAAGCAGGGTACCTCAAACAACAGACCCATAAGGGCTGTTGTTTTTTTTAACCCATCGCCCCACGGCTGATTTGGCTTTGTCTCTGCCAAAACCAAGAACAGTTTTCTTCTTGTGGTTCTTTCGCGTTTGGTTTCCCCATTCTTCCACCCGGAAAAACAAAAGAACACACAAAAAAACGTCAATACCGAAAACAAACAACAACTCCCAGCTGCATGTTTGTCCCCTAAAGTCGGTGCTGCCTTCCGGCTCCTTCCGCGTTTTTTGCACTCGAAGGGCACGCGCCTCGAGGGGCGCTCGACTCGAGGCGGCGATGGTGGCCGAAGGCATCCCCAAGATTTTTGGGGCGGCCCTCACCACGGAAGAGCTCGACCGGCGGTGCCGCCGGGCCGGATGCCCCGCATATGGGACGTCGGAGATGGCAGGGAACCGTGAGAAGATCCCCTTCTCTTTTTTTGGGGGGTGTTGAGTCCGCAAAGTTCAAGCCTTGTTTGTTGAGGTCATCATCATGGCCATGGGTCAAAATCCTGTACCCCAGTGAACATCCCAATCCCCACTAAAATAGGTTCTAAACTGGGTGGTGAATTCACCGAGACCCCCAAAATGGTACCATTGGTTTTGACCCACAGCCATATCTTCAACGCTGGCTGGATCGCATCCCCAAGTGCTGCCATGTCATTTTGGTTGGCATCTTGGCATCAGCTCTGGAGCCTCAACATGGGCCTCAAGCGAGCCTCAAGCGACGAGACCTGCGCTGCCGCCCGAGGGCTGTGAGCTCGCGCGCGACCGGCTTCTGGCAGCGTGAAGGGCTTGAGAGTCGCGGCAAAAAAAACTCGAGCGCCATCTGTCGGCCTTCCGGCAAAGGGACAAAGACTTCACGGTTCTTTTCATGTTTTTTTTTTCTTCGTCTGTGGCTCCGTTCATTTTTCGAGGGGGGGGGTCTGCAAAGAACATCCTCTGGTAACATACCAAGTTGGACCGCAGCAGGGTCCCCGCAACGACGAATCCTCGGATGGGTGTGACCAGTCCTCTCTCTTCTTGCGGGACAATGAAATTGGGACATTGATGGACATTGCAGGTCCTGGTTTGCCAAGATGCCTTTCTTGGGTTTCTCTTTCGGCGGTAGTTTTCATTCGCCCTTGGACATGAGGCTTGGACTTGCTCTTTGTAACAGGGGAACCTCCCCCTCCATTTTTCTTCTGCGAGACCTGTTTGCGCTCCACATCAAAAGACCCAGGGAATTGTCAGGAGATCTCCGTTTTCGGACGCGCCCACATATTGCCAAAAATCAGCACGTTTCTCTTCTTGGCAACTCAAATTATTTCAGCCCTTTTGCCCTCTCACACACCATGCAGACTCTTTTAGCTTGGATCCAACCATCGTGATCATGGGTCATGAAATCCTGACAGTATAGATATCCAGGCAACCAGTTGAGGGCCTGTCAATTCTCATTGTACTTGCACGGAGCCCACTGAAATCCTGTTTAACATGATCGGGGTTACCCACAATGGTCCACCCAATTTCCTCTTGAAAACATGCTTTTGTACTCAAGATGGCGCTCAATCAACAACTAAAGAAACAATCAACAACTAAAAAGACAATCAACAACTAAAAGAAACAATCAAAACTAAGTTTGTATTCGCACCGTCTTTTTGAGGCGGCATCAGGTGGGAGTTTTTCACGCTCTCCGAAGCTTGTGCAACTGGCGCAGCTTCGGTGCATGTCTCAGCCGCACCTGTCGGGGAAAAAAAGGCTCGCAGATTTCAGCGCAAAACGCGCCGGACGTGCGCTGCCGGGCAATGTGCTGACTCTTTGGATATGTTTCTCCCCATCGCGCGGTCATCGGTTCCATTTTGAGGTGTTACGTTTGGGGGTCGTGTCCCTTCAATCCACCATCTAAAGAGTATTTTGCAGGGGGTCACTTGAACGAATCCAGTACTACTTGTTGCTGTTTGGTCTGACCTTCAACCGTTTTATCTTTGGAGAATCATTTTCCGCCTCTCTCTTTTATGCGGGGCAACACCAGTCCGGCATTCTTCGCTTGCAGGGTATGTCTCATGCTTCCGCCTTTTGCTGTTACAGCGACCTGCCTTTCTTCGCAGTATTTCTTCGCGGCTTGGCATGGCATTCACGGCTCACGCCCTGAGTTTCACCAGTTGCGTGGTGAGATGTTAACCCCGGATTAAGCAGAACCCCTGGTGGATGAATGGGGGTGTCCCCTTGAAGTGGGGATTCATCCAACCCTTTTTTGTGGGACGGGTGAATTTAATCCTGGGTCAGCATTCAATACCACAGTTTTCGGACTTTTCTTGGCCAGTCGGCCGGTCTCACGAAGTGAGATGGTTTACTGTATACTTTGTTTCTATGCTGAGAGCAAGGTCTTTGCTAATATAACTTGGGAAGATTTGTGGTGTAGTGCCGTTGACCGCAAAAACATGTCCAGCGGTCGCCATTCGTTTTGTTTCACGAGCCTACCCGAGATGTTCGGGATTCCTCGTGTTCAATTTGTGAGATTGTGTGCGTGTTTTTGAGGGTGCCAGTTGATTTTTCAGGGAAACCAAAAAGAAGCTGAACCTTAGTTTGCGTCCATCTCCTATTGTGACACACATATTGTTGACCCCATATTAACCAACCCCTGTTTATTAATATGGGGCTCCCTGGTTTTAGTGGGGATTCAGCACTTGTGGAGGGGTGTTGATATTAAGAAACAGGGGTTGAGTAATATGGGGTTAACATTACCCAGTTAAAGTGTTTATGCCCCGAGAGGCCAGCACAGTGCAGATCTAGGAGGGGTTCCATTCTGAGACTCTCGGACCTCGGCCGATGTTTTTCTTGGTGTATCTTCCATGTGGTCGCGGGCGTAGCACCAAATGTTTTGTGCAGTCCTGCACAGGAGGAGCGTTGTCTGGCAGTCACTGCCTCTGGCTGCGTGCCGCGGCCTTCGACAGGTTGTACATAGCGCAGGCTGAAGTTTCACGAGTCGCTCTAAGATGATTATTTCCCCTCACAACGGACAGATGCAACCGGTATATGCCTACCATATAAAGCATGTACTGTATATATGTATATAATGATTTGGGGGTAGTGGAAACCATCTTAGCTAGGAGGGTTTCCAGTAACCCACCCCCCCAAACCGGTTATGGGAACCCAAGATGAAGCAACCGCTGGTTGATTTCGATTGGCAGTGTATCAATCCACCAAGCTGACTAGTCTGGTTTGACATTAGTAACAAATGCTTGCATACCCTTTGCAATCCAGCGGCAACAGATCGGGGGGGGGAGGCGAGGAGAGGGGGAGGGAGCCCAAATAAGGTCCAAAAAAAGGCTTTATTAAGGGCTGAATAAGAGCTAATTTGGGCTCGCTCTCGGCCCGCCCCCCTCTCCCCCCCCCCAAGGCCCCAGTCTTGGAACGACTTCCGCCGAGCTTGCGCTTCTGCATGCCGCCGAAAAAGTTGTGCTTTCTGGAGGGTGTGGACAGGGCTTGCTTTGGGGGCGATTTCCGACAAGACCTGCTGTACCTGAATGAGAAGTAAAACAGGCTGAAGCCCAGAGACGCTAATCCCGCAAATGTGAAGCACATCGGTTCTTAATCGGTTTGCTGCTTACTTGCTAATTCTCAATGGCTGTGGAAAATAGGATTTTAAAGGCCAGTTTCTGTGATACCAAGGAAATTCCCGGAAAAAAGAGTCACAAAGTAATCATGGGATTGAACCAGCTTGGGTATCACACCATATTAATCACATTGCAGGGAGAACCATCTCCCAGCACCCGTTTGCACGTGACAAAATGCTCACAGCATAGCTCTGATCGAGCTTCCTTCATGTCGTTTTATTATTATTTTTGCTCCTTTTGGATAGTATTTAAGGGAATCCAAAGGGACACCACTCAATTTTCCCCTCCCGTTTTGTCTCACTCGCAAGTACTAACTGACTATCCAGAATGCCAACTTGGAAGCCCAAAAGCCCGAACAACGTTTCGGTGGAACTCTGCGAGCCGGTTCGGTGGAAATGGTTTGCAACCATCACAACTGCGGGCAGCAGCGTTGTTTCAGACTATCCTGGCCAGTCTCTGACAAAGTCTTTTCTTCTTTTGCTTTGGGTTGCCATGGTGTCTTTGGAGGTGGAGATCGATCGCGCAGGTGTAAATCTGCGCGCCGTCTTGGTAAACGCTGATCCATGGCAACTGCTTCCGAGGCTTCCTCTTGCAGGTCGGGCCATCCGAGAATTGGTGGCATGCGGCCTTCATGTTGGGTCATGAAAACTGCGAAATCAAATTGACGCAGCCCAGCCCCAGCATTCCTTCGGCAATCACTTCCTAAATTCCGCAGATGCCCTTGGGGGTGTCCATGGCACATAATGCCTGGCTTTTTGCGTTCCTTTTGGTGAGCAACTTCCAAAGAGGGAGTTCCTCTCAATTCTCAAGGGTGTGAAGGGCATCCATGTCCCTTTCTCCGTTGGGGTCAGGTCTTGTTGCCTCACCCTGTTCATCCCTTGGTTCTTATTGGTCAGGGGCAGAGGGCCAATACAGCCTGTGAAAGCGGAGGCAAATTGCTGGGGCAACTCGCCTTTGCTACGCTCTACGGAGCTAGGGCCCATTTTGGGCCAGGCGTCCAGCGTTTTTTGTTTTTTTGTTTTGTTTTGTTTGTTTCGAACAACTCGCCTTCGCTACACTCTTCCTGGCACCACATCACACTCGGCAGGGTCTCTTGGGGGGTTTCGGCCATTGGAATTGTTTGCGGGGCTTCCGGCTTGAAGCTCATGGAAGTCCAACGCCATCCGTTGGCGAATCTTCTTTTGGGGCGACGCTGTCCTTTGGGTCGCTGTTAATTTTTGGAAGGCGCGGAGGCTTGTCACAGGGTTCCTGGTCTTGAGACTTTTGCAGACTTTTCATATGGGGAAAAGGAAGGAAGATGAGACTCACCCCTGATAAAGCTGCTCCTACCAACCTGTTTGTTGGTCGAGCCCCAACGCACCTCTCCAGTTTGGTCTATTCTTGTTTGCCCAATTCGGGGGCGTTTTTCTGGGAGTGGTGGTGTGTGGGGGGGCTTTTCGTCGAGGTCCGAGACTCTTTCCGCAGTTGGCTCGAGCGTGAGGGCTCCAGCCTTTCCTCATGTACCAATGTTTGTTTGCCTGTTTCATCATGGCGCCTTGGTGCAGAATGAGAATCGGGCGGAGTGATGTGTGGAATGGGCAGGATGGGCGGAATGGGCGGATTGTGGGACATGGGAGTTGTTTTGGCCACTTCTTTGCATCTTTCATGCTCGACATGGGATCGAAATGAGTCGACGGATTGCGGAGCCGGTTTGTTCTTTGGAGTTTCGGGGATCCTTGTTGACCCCTCTTTGCCGTGTTACAGCCACTTCCCAAAGCCCCAGAAAGTCAGGTCCAACGGAGGAAACAGCTTGATCGAGCCCATGTTCTGCAAGGTGACCAGTCAGTCGGCAGTCGAGCTCGGGGGTCATTTTCTGCAACCTCCAAACCCATGGGAAGGAGTCCACCTCCAAACCAATCCAAAGCGTCAAAGGGAAGCCATCAATGTCACTCCGCTCCGAGGTTCTACACGTATGGTGCGACGCTCAGAGGTCGCGGCACCCTTCGGAAGGTCTTCACGGGACCGTCTGGTCGTCGGGCTTCAGCCGCCTACCTTTTGACCTTTTGGTTTCCCTGATTTGGCCCATATTTGGTCATGGTTCCAACAGTCCTTTCCTTTCTACACTCGTGTACTGTAGTCCCATGTTTCTGGCCACCTCTTGTTGGATCGTCTTGGATTTTCGGGGCTCCTTTGGGCGCAGCGTAAGCCATCGACC